ATGCACCGAGAGAGTGCCTGGTGCATAAAGTGCCCTAGAGCCAGCAGCTCTCAGTCTCTTAAGTTACTAAGTCTCCCATCATCTCAGGGATAGTACTTGCTATTCTAATAATTAATAAAATGTCTACACCACATACAAATACATGGAATGTGTTCACATGTTAGCAATAGTCCATCAAACAATTACAAGAGCCCTGGCTCGGTGGCTCAGTTGGTTGGAGCATCGTTTGCAGGTTCAGCAAAGTTTTCGGGTTCAATCCCCAATCAGGGCACATACCTAAGTTGTGGGTTTGATCCCTAGTCAGGGAGTGTTTGGGAGGAAACTGATTGGCATTTCTCTCCCACATCAATGTTTCTATCTATCTCTCCCTTCCTCTCTCTCTAAAAATCAATAAAAACATATCTTCATCTGAGGATTAAAAAATTAAAAAAAATGACAAGAGTGTTTGTAGAGTTGGTATTATATTTATTTCTGTTTACAGTTAATGAAATTGAGGTTCAAACAAGGACATATGATATGGCCATAATCACTAGGGTTCAGAAGTTTTGAAGCCTTAATTCCAACAGTTTTTGACACTAAATTTTGTGGGTTTGTCATGGTATATGTAAAAACATTGTTGCCACACAACTAAGTCACGTTTTCTGACAACTTCTGTGGTAATGAATATTTTAATCCCCAGTTGCCTGATTTGTCTTTCTTTCATTTAATTCCAAATTCTTTGGAAAGGCTCGGTCATCTTCAACTCGAATCCTCACCACTTGGGAATTGCACATCTTACTTTGAAAAGAACTATTTGCCCTAAGAAAATAATTTAATATAGCATTTGGTTTTCATAGTTATTTGGCTAAGCTTCTGACATGACCATGATTTGCCTGTCAACATTTTTGAATCATTCTAACTGAAGGAAAAAGTCTTTAGAGACAGATAATCTCAAAACATGAAATTGAAATTTTGATATTTTGCATAGTCAGAAAGACTTGTTCTGCTTAGAAAGTGTTTTCTCTGTAGCACAGATGTGCTTTTCAAAGCCTTGGAATTTCCTCTTTCAAAAATATGTTGAGCCAACTGAATTTTTCAAGGAAATAATTTATATCCTGAATTTGGTCTGCTGAAAAGCATGCAAGAATTGCAATCATGCTCTTTGTAAATGTTTTTAAGTTTTCCTGGAGTTTATCATGTGAGGATGAACTAAAGAGACTGTAATCCTAGGATTCATGTAGACTTTGATTTTTAAAAGAATGATAAAGTGCACCAAAGTTTAAAAAAATGTGCCAACATGTATATTACCATTAATCCTCAGAATTTGAAAAGCTCAATTTGTACTATTTTAAGTCCTTATTGGTCATTATCAGCAATGTGCTTACCATTAAAAGATTTCTAGCAAAATAAAGATTGAGAGTGGGTAAATGTGTTACAATGGTAACAATGTCCCTTTATGTGTTTATAGTAGCCATACCATTTGCATTGCTACCAGCCAAGGGTAAGAGTTCCATTTGCTCAGCAGTTTTGCCAACACTTTCTGTGGCCAGTCTTTTTCGTTGTTGTTCATTCAGATATGCAGGGGTATCTCATTGTGTTCTAATTTGAATTTCTCTAATGATTAGAGTTGTTGAGCATCTTTTTATGTGCTTATTTGCTATTTAAATATCCTATTTGGTGAAGTGTGTGTTCAAATCTTTCAGCCAACTTTTTTTTAAAATTGCTCCTGCTTCTTCCCCATTGAATTTTGAGAGTATTATGTATTCTGAATGCTAATTACTTATTTGATATATGTGTTAGGTCGGAGAGAGCCCAGGATCAGATACATACAGACATGGGATGAGACAATGGACTTCCTCTGGAATTTCTCACAGATCTGGGATTTCTCACAGGTCAACGTGCCAGACACAGATACCAGCTTCTTCTCCCTGAATCCACATACTCCCCTGCAGCTGAAGCCTCCTCAACTGAATACCTCAGCTCATGTCCCCGCCCCTCACCCAACCGCAGTATAAAAAAAGCGCCCCCCTCCATGTTGGCGTGAATCCACGTGCCCTGTCTTTGGGGGTACGTGGGTCTCCCGGGGACGCAGAATAAACTTTCCTTTCCTTTCTTTTCTGATTCACTGGACTCTATTTCTTGCGCCGCCTCCTGAGCCACCTAACCTAACAATATGTTTTGCTGAGATTTTCTTAGTTTATTGCTTGTCTTTTCATTTTAATAGTATCTTTCGAAAACTCAGAAGCTTTTTTTATTTTTATTTTTAAAAATTATTTTATTTTTTTCCGTCACCTTTATTTAAATTATTTATTAATTTATTTAAGAGTAGTGATTTGGTGTTATGCCTAAGAAATCTTTTCTGAACTCAAAATCACAAAGTTTTTCTCCTGTTTACTTCTAGAAATTTGATGCATTTTAACATTTTGAGTTAATTTTTGTCTACATTGCAAAGTAGGGGACAAAGTTCAGTATTTTTACATATGGAAGCCCCCTGGACCATTTGTTGAAAACACTGTTTTTTTTCCGCAACTGAATTACCTTTACAACTTTGTAGAAAATCAATCAACAACATTTAGTGGCTCTCTCTCTGGACTTTTCTCTGTTCTTTGATTCATGTGCCCATCCTTTTGCTAATACCACACTGACATGTCTACCTCAGCTTCGTAATAAGCCTTGGAAGCAGGTAGTAGGGAGCCACCAATTTTGTTCTCCCTTTTTAAAAATGGCTTGGGCTATTCTGCTTCTTTGAGTTTGCCATTAAAATTGTGGAAATAGATTGTCAATTCTTATCTTAAAATCCAATGTGATTTTGATTCAAACTGTATTTTAAAATCTATTCATTGATTCTTGGAGAATTGACATTATCACATTATTGAGTTGTCCAATTCATGAAAAGAGCACACTACTATGTTCATTAATGTCTCCTTTAATTGGCGCTTCTCTCGTGTTTTGTGGGGTCCACACACAGATTATGCACATATTCTGTTAGATTGATCCATAATTATTTCAAGGGTTTTGGTACTACTGAAAATGGTCTATATATCAATTTTAATTTTCAATTGTTCTGACGTGCACTTGATTTTAAAATATTGATTTGCTAATCTCACTTATCTGTTTTTAATAGCTTTTTTGTAGATTCCTTTGGGTCTTTCTACTTAGACAATTAAGTTGTCTGTCAATAAAGACAGCATTTTTTATTTTCAAGCTGTATTTATTATGTATTTCTTCTTCTATTATTGCACTACCTACAATGACTAATAAAAGTATTTATTGGGGGCATTGCTGTCTTGTTCCGATTTTAGGAAGAAAGCATTCAGTCTTTCACCAATAAATATGTTAGTGTAGGTATTTTGTACATCTATTTCATTAGGTTGAGGAAGACTTCTTTTATTGCATGAATATTGAACTGTGTCAATTTTTTTTTCTGCATCTAGTGAAATGACCATATCCTTTCCCTACAAATGGTTTATTATACTGATTGATTTCTGACTATTGAACCAGTCTTCCATTTCCAGAATAAACGCCACATTTTTCCATTTTTACATATTGCTGGATTCACTTGGTGAATACTTTTTAAGGATATTTATGTTTATAATTATGAAGGCTATTGCTCTGTCCTTTTATTTTCTTATGATGACTTTGGTTGTGGTTTTTGGGTAATGCTGTCTTCATAAAATGAACTAGGAAGTATCCCCAAAACTTCATTGTAGAAGAAATTCTGTAAAATATTTATTTCTTCCTTAAATATTTGGTAGAATTCACCAGTGAAACTTTCTAAGTCTGGAGTTTCCTTTGAAGAATTTTAACTACAAATTTAATGACTGTAGTTATGTATTTCTTCCTCAGTGAGTTGGTAGCTTACCATTTTTTCTTTCTCTGTGGGTTTTTCTCAAACCCTATCAGTTGAATTCAGGTGTTTCTCACCATCATGGTAACACAGATCAAGAATTTAACACCTGTGCATTAGGGGCTATAATAGCCACAGGAGGTTGTGATGTCTACCTTGCTACTCAAAGGTGGCAGGAGAAGCTAGCCTGTGAATGGCTGGAGCAACCAGGGGCATTTTCCTCCTTTGGCACCCCCTCCCATGCATATGGACTCAGGGACTTTGCTTTTGCCCTTAGCACTTTTGGCCACCCCTACACCCAGTACTGCTCTCCCCACAGGACACAGTAGAATGGTGATTTGGGCCTCTGCACCCAACAGCAGTAAAGTTTGAGCTCCTCCTAGAGTGAGCTGCTTATACCTACATGCCCAGGCTTTCCTAATTTTTCCAATGGAAGTTCAGGATCCCAGGAACCACTTCAATCCCAGCAAATTGGATGGCTGGTCACCTTCATTCCTATCCCACTGAACTGGCCTCCTTCACTGAACTTTTTTCTAAAGCAGCTGAAGCAGGAACTGAGGGGAAGGGGCCTTAGGGACCTGCAGGGAAAAGTGAGGCTTCTCAACATGAATCAATGCTGCCTGTTCCTCTCAATAAACAAACTCTCCAGGGCCCTCCAGGGGATAGTACTGAACTTTGCCTGCCTGTCTGAGAAAGTGCACCAAAGTTTAAAAAAAAAATGTGCCAACATGTACATTATCATTAACCCTCAGAATTTGAAAAGCTCAATTTGTACTATTTTAAGTCCTTATTAGTCATCATCAGCAATGTGCTTACCATTAAAAGATTTCTAGCAAAAGAAAGATTGCGAGTGGGTGGCCTGCTCTTGTAACACACACACAACCAGCTCACTCTAGGAGGAGCTTAAACTTTACTGCTATTGGGTGCAGAGGCCCAAATCACCATTCTACATTGCCCTGTGGGGACAGCACTGGAGATCCTGTGACGCAGTAGTCATAGGCATTTTACTCTTTAGCTAGGGTCGAGGTGAACCAGGAAGGAATGGAAGGCAGGGTTGTGTGCACAGATGAAGAGAGCTGAAAGAAAGCTTAGAATAGATCCAGGGGGCTCCTCTCTCAACTTTTGATGGAGATAATTGGTTGGGATAAAGTAAAAGAATTGTAGAGTTGCTTACCTTGACTGTCAGAGTCACTGGTGCTCCAGAATATTGTTATGAGACGTTTAGAGGGCCTCCAGAGGTACCCACCAATGTTCAGAATAAATAGTGTTGATTAAGGTAAAGAATTAATAGGGGCTAATGGTAAAGCCCTAATCCTCTGAGGAAAAAAAGTGTTCTTCAGAAAAGTGCTTAAGAATTGCTACATGACAACACTATGGAGAAAACAGATAATCCACATGAGGGTAAAAGGCTGTCCTTCCACCTCTCTTTCAGAGACAGGGGAAGGGGAGGGAGAGAGAGGCAAGAGAGGAGAGAGAGAACAGAAGAGAAGAGAAGAGAAGAGAAGAGAAGAGAAGAGAAGAGAAGAGAAGAGAAGAGAAGAGAAGAGAAAAGAGAGAGAAAGAGGAGGGGGAGGGAGGGAGGGAGGGAGGGAGGGAGGGAGGGGAAACATTGGTTTCCTCCAGCATGCACCTCACCTGAAGAGAAGAGAAGAGAAGAGAAGAAAAGAAAAGAGAAGAGGAGAGAGAAAGAGGAGGGGGAGGGAGGGAGGGGAAACATTGGTTTCCTCCAGCATGCACCTCACCTGGAGACCTAACCCACAACCTAAGTATGTGCCCTGACAGGGAATAGAACCTGCGACATTTCAGTGTACAGGATGATGCTGCAACAAACTGAGCCACAATGGCCAAGGTGAGTATTCCCTCTCGAAGTGAATCTTTCCCCTCAGCATATAAACATACTCAGAAATCTCATTAACAAACATGTAACAAAAAAGAAAAAACAACAATAAAATAACAACAGCAAAATAATATAAACTCCAAAAAAAATCTTAATTATAACCTTCCTCTATATTAATATCTTTGAATTCACAACCAAAATTCTGTAGGGAATAACATGAAGTCTGAACTTCTGCATCCTAGCTTCTAACTTTCCATTCACCCCTAAATCTACTGCAATTGATCTTGCATTAATAGAATTACATCAAAACAGCTCATACAAAAGTCACCGATGAACTTTCACTTGACCCATTTTATCCTCCTTTAATTTTTCAGTTGGGTGTCCAGGTCACTCTATAAAAATTAGAATACCTTTGGCTTCAATTTCAGAAACCTCAAGAAAAAAGGGAGTAATCAATAAGGGAATTTTATTATCTCACATAATCTAGCCACACTCCTTAATAAGATGCCCGATATATGGCATCTGCATGGTAATAAATCACCGGTTCATAAATCAAGGACACTGTTGCTTTTCACTTTTAATTTTACCATGGTTGCCGAAACCGGTTTGGCTCAGTGGATAGAGTGTCGACCTGCGGACTGAAGGGTCCCGGGTTCGATTCCGGTCAAGGGCATGTACGTTGGTTGCGGGCGCACCCCCAGTGGGAGATGTGCAGGAGGCAGCTGGTCGATGATTCTCTCTCATCGATGTTTCTGGCTCTCTGTCCCTCTCCCTTCCTCTCTGTAAAAAAATCAATAAAATATATTTAAAAAAAAAAAAAAAATTTTACCATGGTTGGACATGTTGCACATCAAGGTTGTGTGTGTGTGTTACTACAAGAGCAAAACTGTACATGCCAACATCCATTCAGAGGATGTGTCTCCCTATACATCTTTCTCAGACTGTGGAATCTAAGGGGGAAGGCAAAGGTGGGTGGGTGGGAAGAGATTAACCAAAGAACTTGTATGCATATATGCATAACCCATGGATACAGACAATAGTGTAGTGAAGGCCTGGGGTGGGGGGACAGGGGCGGGCTAGAAGATGTCAATGGGAAAAAATGAGGGACATATGTAATACTTTCAACAATAAATATTTTTTTAAAAGTCTGAAATTTTTCCCCAGAAATCTTTTCATGGCCCCTAATACTATAGATTACATACTCACCTACACATGGTTCAAAGACAAGGGAGAAAAGACACCCATTTTCTTAAGGGATCCTAAATAGAGAAAGTTCTATTTGTCCATAGGACCCATGCCTACCTATAAATTAACCAGTTTCACTGGGAAACAGACCATCATGTGGACCCAGAATAATCAGCATTTACCTGGTTCCTGTAGAAAAGGGATGTCAAAGTTCTGCCAGCCAGGAGGGGGGGCAGCGTTTTTTGGGTGGGTAACCAATGATGCCATCTGTATACTTTTTACTGGATTTTCTGCTTCCAGTAAAATTGTTTAGGCCTCCCATCTTCTGCTTATCCCTTAAATATTCATATTGGTAGAGCTGTTCAGGGCCCTTCTCCAGTCATTTTCTTCTTCCCAATTTGTCACTCACACCTTTGGGTCTGTCTACCAACTATATCTCTTGACATAGAAACCTATTTTTCTGCAAGAGATAACTTACCTGTGTTTGAGCTGCTATCTGCTTGAATAGACAAGACAGCAAACCTAATTACCCCTCTGCGAACACACATGCGTGCGCGTTCGGGGGAACGAACACACACACACACACACACACACACACACACACGCTCGCACGCGCACACACACATGCACACTCTCATATGCAGACATACTCACAGGCATACATACTCACACAAACATGCACACAATGACACAGATATAGACATGGACTCGTTCCAAATCTTTACTTTTTTTTTGTAGCAACTGCTGAATTTATTCAGCATAACCATAGAAGTATTGTCTTCATGCTGTCACACACAGACACAAACACAGACACAGCACAATGTCCATATTTAGCCCAAGTGTTTTCCTTCTGAGGCTCACTTATACGTCTTCATATGCCACAGCCCATCATTTAAATAATGGATATTTTCAATGCCAATCCCTTTGTTCACTTTCTCGATATCTTCCGCAGACATCTTCATAACGCCAACACACAGGGCATGCTGTTTTCCTTCTGCCATGATTGCAACAACAGTATCCGCTGCAGCAGGGTAAAGCTTGGCTCCAGGCGAGGTTAAGCCTGGACACATGATATTTGCGCCACTGAGCACAAATTTGATGGCTCCTTTATCAACTTGCTGTCGTGGCAGGATAAATGGGTATTTGTGTAGTAGCCTTAGAGTTGGATAAAAAGGCCCTTCTCTCTGTCGAAAAAACAGTAACTCTCCGTTTACTGTAAGGATTTCTATATGCTCGTGGCACCGCACTATTTTAACCGGATCTTTCTTAGGCATGATTTGATTAAGCCATGGTTCAATGCCTGGAAACTGTTCTATCAACTGGTTCTTAATACCCTTAATAACTGACGTTTTCAACTGGATGCAGTTGGACACGTTTTCTTTTTCATCAAATTTCTTGAACATGATCCAAGGTGGCGGGGGCGACAGTAGGGAAAGGCCCGAGAGAGGAAAGAACTGAATTCGCGAGGGTCGGCAGAGGCGCTTACCGGAGGAAGGCCGGCAGAGACGGTCAAGGCTGCTGTCGTGAACCGGAAGGGAACGTGCTTTACAGCTCACCGTAGACCCTACTTTACGGCTCGCCGTAAAATCTACTTCCTTTCCTCCGAACGCCGTGGCGCTCTCTACGGCCGCTTGGGTCTGTGGATTCCCCTCCAAACCGTTTGGTAACCGGGCGGGGTTTGAGAGGGCAGATGAGTTAGAGCGATACTTCTTGTTTCGGGGCTTGTGCTTTGTTTAAATTATTGGGAATCCGAATCATCACCCAGTTACCCCAGCCACAAACCGGGGTCACCTCCCCGCTGACACGCCTCTCCTCTGACGTCACCGCTAGGGGTCGAGACTTGTCTGCGTTCCGCTTCCGCGTAGCTCACAATCTTGCCTGGCCTGTCGCGCTGTCTCACATTGTTGCGCTCAAGTCCGTATAATTGCAGAGAGTTCCTGCCTGTCGCCGCTGAATGCACCCCTGTCCCCTCCGAGCTCTCACCACCTGCACCCAGAGAGGAGGGTTTGTGGCCAGAGAGGATGCAAATGCTGGTGGATTCCAATCGTTTTAAGCATATCCAAACTCATTCCATGGCCCAGCACTCGGTCTGTCTCGGCGAGTGGTCCTGGTGCTCCTGAGAAGAATGTGCAGCTTTGTGTGGGTTCAGCGCTCGGTACACGCCTGTATTGCCCCGTTGGTGGAGGAAGTTGCCCAGGTGTTCTCTCTCCTTACTGATTTGCCGTCTACTTGTTATTATCAGTTACTGATCAGCATATTGAAATGATGATTATGGTCCTATTTCTCCTTCAAGTTAGCTCTGTCAGCTTTGGATTCATGTCTTTTGAAGCTCCATTTATTAGGTCCGTACCCGCTTATATGAATTGGTTTTTATCCGTAAAGAGTTTACTTGTCATCCTAAGAAGTGAGAGGTCCACGAGAGCAGGAATTGTGTATTTTATCTCTGTGTCCTTCCACCTAGCACAAGATCTGTTTCATACTGTATACTGTGTACACACTGAGTGCCTGATACATGAATGAAAGAGTACTTCCTCTTCCCCGGGATCCGACCCCTTCTTTCCCTGACAGTGCTGTGTGAAAAGAATAAAGGCAGATCCTGGCTATCTGGACACTTCTCCCCAGTAAACATGCTTAACCTGGGAAGTGTGCTGCAGCAGGAATCAGAACAGGTGCTGGATATATAGTGGAAAGATAACATACATGTCCCCATTCTGGAGAGCTTACAGCACATGAAGGTGTCATGTGTAATCGCCCCGTTCTCAAGGCAAAAATCTGTATTAGTCTAGGTTCTCTATCTGTATACGTGTGTGTGTGTGTGTGTGTGTGTGTATTAATTATAAGAAATTGGCTCCCACAATTAGGGAGGCTGAGAAGTCCCAATATTAACACTCAAGATGGAGATTCAAGAGAGCCAATGGTGTCAGTTGAGTCCAAAAGCCTGCGAACTAGGAGAGCTAATGGTGTAAATCAGGGGTCCTCAAACTTTTTAAACAGGGAGCCAGTTCACTGTCCCTCAGACCATCGGAGGGCCGGACTATAGTTAAAAAAAAAACAACTATGAACAAATTCCTATGCACACTGCACATATCTTATTTTGAAGTAAAAAAAGCAAAACAGGGACAAATACAATATTTGTATTTGCATGTGGCCCGTGGGCCGTAGTTTGAGGACCCCTTGTGTAAATTCTAGGCTGAGTCCAGGTCAGAAAAAGACCAATGTCCCCCTTCAAAAGCCACCAGGCAGAAGGAATATCTTCTTACTCAGGAAAGTCAGCTAATTTGTTGTATTCAGGCCTTCAAGTGGTTGGCTGATACCTGTCCACATTAGGGAGAGGGCAATCTGCTGTACTTTACCAGTTAATATGTTAATCTCATCCAGAAACACCCAAAATAATGTTTGACCAAATATCCGGACCAGCTACGTTGACACATAAAAATAACCATCACAAAGGTACCCACACCATCTTAACTGAAGCAGCATAGAGTGGGGTGTTTATGTGTGCTGACCCTAGAACCCAGGAAAGACTCCTGCTCCATTACGTGGAATCCTGAGAGTTACTGAACTTGTCTGTGTTTCAGTTTATTCATCATGAATGTGTGATTAACTAGAATACCCATCTCCTGGGGGTGAGGGTGAGAATTGCTTGAATTAATATTCAGAACAATTGGGTTTTAATTATTTCACATAGCTGTTATTAAATTAACATAAAAACGGTTTCATGAATATTTTAAAAATCTCTTCACACGGGAGAAAGTAAAACTGGCTTTAGATTTGAGCTTTCCTATTTATGGCTGAGTTTCTGATCTGCCTCCCTGAGAGTTCACTCCAGTCAATTTGAACCTGTGAAGAGTCACACATTTCCAGATACATCTCTGATTATTTTACAAGCAGCTAACCTTGCTTGTTATGTATGAGTTTTTTGTGCTTAACTCTTATGGGGTGATTCTTTTTCTTTTGTTCTTAGGGGTTGCCCCATTGTTCTTATGTATGAAGTTAGTACTGTGTAAGCAGCTTAAACAAAATGTCAGAAATCCAAGGGATGAAAAGTCATTACTGGCTAGAATTAACCAGGGTGACCTGTCCGTAGATAACTAATCATTTAATCCAGGAATAATCTGATTTGGAACTGGCTATTAGAGAAATGCCCAAGGGATTTGTTTAATGAAGCTATTTTAGAGAAAGGACTCTAAAAGTGTAGTCAGTGAAAAATCTTTTTGAAGCCAATAATCCTTTTTATCTGAAATCATACTCAATTCTGTACAATGTAACTTCTCCAGAGTAAACTTTTTCTTGGCCCACAAGCATCTGTTTGCTGTCTATCATAAAGAGGACACTAAGCTCTAGTTTCTGTATTTAAATTCTTCAGTTGAAAAATGAAAAAAACTTGTTTAGTTTTCCTAAAACTCACCTTCTCTAAAATGGGGCCTGGTTCTTAAAATGTAGAGAAGAACCTAAGTCTTTGAGACTGGTATACATTAACATGAAAAAATGTGATACATAAATGTTGCTTAAATTAATATGTTAAAACATTGAAGTACACTACCAAATTATCCTGGTTAAATAACTTAAAATTAATTCAAACTTAATTAACTAGATATATTTTTAAAAGTAGGAAAGTTAAGGCACCAAACTCAGTGTTTCAAGCCAGGGTGTACCACTTCCTAAGTTTTATTAGTCTCCCTATTTCTTCATGAAATCTGAATAAAACTGTATATACTTCACAATGTGTATGCGGTGGTTATGAGAGGGAAAAAATACAGTATACAAAGGACTTAGTAGTAGGAAGCAATACATTTAAAAGTGTTTCATTTATTTATTTATTTGCAGTCACCCTTTGTGCAGTAGTTATAAGGTCTAAGATTATACTGTGTAAAAATTTTACAGAAAATTACCGTAGCTTTGGATAATTTACTAGTCAAATGGTCAAGAGATGCCAGAATTCAATTTTACGTCTGTAATCTCGAGAGAGTATGTACTTGAGATATAGTGTTTATGTTGCAAAGTTAAAATGAGGAAACTGATGGAGGAAATTTCTCAGGTTCCTCAAATCTCCAAAATTTGAAGTGGTACTCACTCACCTGGGTTGTATTAATAGTTTCAAACGTTTCCCCTTAAAATACAGCTTTGTTTGCATTTTGAGAAATGGCCATTAGAGGGCAGGAGAACTAAACTAAAATCCACATGTGTGGTTCCCAAGCTTGAAGTACTACACTATATATTAGGATTATTTTCAACTAATAAATAACTATTTTTAATCATACAATTATTTTTCCTCAATTGTATTTCCTAAATAAATAAATTCATCTCTACAGTCACAAAATATTTCCCAAGCTTAAGTGAAGCACATTCTAAATATAGGTATTAATTTACAATTTGCCAATTTTCTCTGTATCCATCTATAAATAATCAATAAAATAATTATTTTTTAAATGATGTCTATAAAAACACATTAGCCCTACATTTTTAACTTCTCAAAGAAATATAAAACTATTTTCACATTGCTTCAATTTATGAACTATTTTTGGAAATTCGAAAAATTATTTGTATATTGTAAAAATAGCCTCACAATATTCAAAATGTTTTTATGTCTTCTACCTCATTGCTCAGTTCCTTAGGTAACTCTGCTAAGTTTCTCATCTACTCCAAAAATCCAAAATTTGAAGCAGGATTCACATACCTGGGTTGCATTAATAGTTTCAAATGTTTCCCCTAATACAGCTTTGTCTGCATTTTGAGAAATGACCATTAGAGGGCAGGAGAACCAAATTGAAATCCACATGTGGTTTCCAACCTTGAAGTACTACACTATATATTACTAAGCATACTAAGCATATAGATGGATAGTTAGAATGGGGTGTGTGTGTGTGCACATGCCCTTGTGTGGGAGTAGCCAGAAGAATCGGCCCCACGTGGGAAAAGTGGGCAGGGGGCCCCAGGATCTTAGGTATCCTCTTCCCATATAGACACCCACCTCGCTCTGGACCAATTCCTACCTTTCCTGGCCTGAGTTTCATGATTATCTCATGAGGATTGGACAGGGAACCGCGTGAGCCCAGCTCAAAGTGGATCCGGCCCCTGAGTGAGGGTGGCGGGGCACACTCGGGGCGCATGGCTTCCCTCCACATGTGGACTCCAGCAGAGCAGCCAGCCTCATGTCCATGGCAGGGCACACACAAGGTCTTGGACAGTGTGTGCATGAGATGCCTCCTCATGGCATGCACAATGTACCAATGGTTCCCAGCCCAGCCTGTACCACTGGACCTCAGCAGCCACTGCTCTGAGACCCCACAACCTCTGGAACCATTGCATTACCCTACTCCAGCCAGTTGGGCCAGAGACCTGGGGACATGAGCATTGTGGAACAGCCCCTGTCCCACTGTCCTTGTCCCCAGACACTACATGAGGGGCCAGTTCTGTGCATGGCTAGGACAGGAGCCCTAGAGGAGGCAGTAGACACTCCAGGCAGGGAGGAATTTAGGCTGCTTTCCCCCTCTTCCTTTATGCCCCTCCCTGTTTCCTCTGGCAGGAGCCCAGGACATGAGTTCCTGCCCATCCCTGGCTGGTGTTATGGGGAAGGTGGGACTCCTGGGAGGAGGCGGCACCACAATGAGAGCAGAGTAAGTATTTGGAGTAATTATTGCTATTAGAGGACCCCATGTGATTGGTGAGTCCACCCCATTTTGGAGATGAGCAGTGGGTACCAGAGCTCAAGGTCCCCCAGCTGTAAGTGACCAAGGCCAGTTGAACTGAGGCTCTGCAAAGTCAGGATATG